ACTCATTTTCTGGATATGGTTTTCCCTTCCCTGCCTATAATGTTTGTGCCAGCACCACCATCTGTGGACTCTTCTACACAGCATTGCATCTGATTCAGAAACTGATTTCACAGCAAAGGAAGGGTAGTGATAGGTCCATGCCAATGGAATAAACTGGTTTTACCACAGGCCACATCATCCGGGAGCAGCTGGCCTAATTGAAAGGTGGAATGGCTTTTTAGACTCTGTTATGATGCTAGTTGTGAAACAGTGCCCTGAAAGAATGGGGTTTTGTTTTATAGGATGTAGTATACACTTTGAATCAGAGACCAATATATGGTTCTGTCTCCTCCATAGCCAGTATAAATGGTTCCTAAAATTAAGGGGTAGAAGTAGGAGTGGCTCTTCTCACTATTACACCCAATAACCCACTCGTGGAATGTTTGCTTCCCATCTTGACAACATTGAGCTCTGCTTTTTTTGAATCTAAGTGCCTGTGATGGTTAATTTTTTAAAAATTGTATATATTAGAGGCCTGCTGCACAAAATTTATGCACGGGGGGCGGCGGGGGGGGGGGTGGTCCGTCAGCCTGGCTTGCACCCTCTTGCAGTCTGGGAGCCCTCAGAGGATGTCTAACTGATGGCAGTTGGACATTCTTAGTGCTGCCACAGCATTGAGCGTCTGTCTCCTGGTGATCAGTGTGTGTCATAGTGACCAACCTGTCCTTCTGCCGTTTGATCAATTTGCATATTAGCCTTTTATTATATGGGATTTTTTTATTGGTTCCAGAGAGGAAGGGAGAGGGAGAGAGAGAGAAAAACATCAATGATGAGAATCATCGATCGGGTGCCTCCTGCACGCCCCACACTGGAGATAGAGCCTGCAACCCGGGTATGTGCCCTGACCGGGAATCAAACCATAACCTCCTGGTTCATAGGTCAGTGCTCAACCACTGAGCCATGCTGGCCGGGCATGATAGTTAATTTTTGTTTTTGTCAACTTGACTCAGCCATGGAAAGCCCAGATATTTGGTTCAACACTATTTAGAGCATGCCTGGGAAAGTGTTTCTAAATGGGATTAACATTTGAATTGGTAGACTGAGGAAAGTAGGTGTTTCCCAAAGTGAGGGACTAATCCAATCCATTGAAGGCCTGAATAAAACAAAAAGACTAAGCAACACAGACTTCACAGAGAGAGGGGAGGAGAGAAGAAGAAGAAGAAGAAGAAGAAGAAGAAGAAGAAGAAGAAGAAGAAGAAGAAGAAGAAGGAGGAGGAGGAGGAGGAGGAGGAGGAGGAGGAGGAGGAGGAGGAGGAGGAGGAGGAGGAAGAGGAGGAGGAAGAAGAAGGAAAGGAGGAAGAGGAGGAGGAGGAGGAGGATAGAAGGAAGAAGGAAGAAAGAAGAAGGAGGAGGAGGAGGAGGAGGAGGAGGAGAGGAGGAGGAGGAGGAGGAGGAGGAGGAGGAGGAGAGTTAATTTATTAGCTAGAGCGATTGATCTTCATTACTGAAGGGAAATCTATTGCTACTACACTGTGGAGGCAAGGAGGATCATGTCTGCAACCCAGAGGAGTATCTGAGATGCCTCTTAGTACTTCCATGCCCAACAGTAAAAGTTAATGGACAACTATAGCAACTGAAAACAGGCAGAATGACTGAGGACTCAAACTCTTCAGGAATTAAGGGTTGGGTGACTCCCTCAGGTAAAGAGAGCCTCTGAGGTTCTGAAGGAAGGCAGGGAAAATACAGAATGGAAGGTGGAAGAAGGAAGCCAGTGATGGCAATCATAGCCTTGTGATCAATTATAGAAATGAGTGCTATTGTAGTTTTGCTTATTTTCTTCTTGCTTGTTATATTTCTGTATTTATTTGTATATGCTAGTCATTTTCTTTTTCTGTCTCTTTCCCATTTTAATTTTATATATGAATACTTGTTGGAAATTGATTTTATAATTTCATCTTTAGATGCTAGAATATTTGTGGGACTGTGACTAAATTTGAGGAATAATTAATATAAACAGCAATGAATATACGTGTGGAAGGGTGCATATGGAAGCTGAGTAATCAAAGGGGTGGGCTGTACCACTTACTGATTTTTGTCTCTTGGCTCCAAATTCGTCCTTTATGCCTGTTCTGTGAAAATGGCTCTGGTCCGTTTAAATTTTTCCTTTATCAGCTGGTACTGAAGGCTTGCCAGTAGAGGGCACTGGAAAGACATTGCAAGGAGGAAAATGATTTTGATTCCAGCTTCTGGTGGGCCCACTCAGCAGGTTGCTGCAGCATATACAGCTTTCTCCAGCACCAGCATCCTGAGGCACCACATGTTCTCTAGTGCCTGGTTCCTGCAGTGCAAGGTGACTCCCAGCCCGCAGTGGCCAGCAGCTTCTCCCTGGAATCTCCCATCAGACAGGGAAGCACTCACAGCTTCTCCATTTTCCAGTTTTTGCTGTGCAAAGCAGCCAGCAGCACGCAGTGGCCAGCAACTTCCCCCTGACACCCTCCCTCACATATAGCTTTGGAGCAGAGTGCCTTTGATGACTCACCTTCCCATAAACAACTTTCTTTGGCACCCTAGATGGTGGATTTCTGGCAGGTTTCAGGAAGCAGATTTCCAGCCAGTTCCACCATTCAGTGAGTCACGACCATAATTTCTTGAGCAAGGACTGGATCTCAGCTCTGAGTTCAGGAGGAGAGGGTGGGGTGGGGGCTGAGTAGGGTCTTCCTTGGGTGCCATATTTCAATCATGTTCATGCTTTCCTCCACCTTCTTGAATATAAGCGTTAGATCTATAAAGCTGTTTTGAAGTTCTTTGTCTATTGGATTGATCATCCAGGTCATTTTCTATGGATTATTTTTCTCCATGTGGGCCGTTGTCTCCTGCTTCTTTTCATACCTGGTAATATTTTATTGCATGCCACACATTGTAAATTTTACCTTGTTGAGTGCTGAATTTTTTTGTACTTAAAAAATTGGGGTGCTTGCTGAAACCAGTTTGCTCAGCGGTAGAGCGTCGATCTGCGGACTGAAAGGTCCCAGGTTCGATTCCGGTCAAGGGCATGTACCTTGGTTGCGGGCACATCCCTCCCCAGTGGGAGTTGTGCAGGAGGCAGCTGGTCGATGTATCTCTCCCATCGATGTTTCTAGCTCTCTATCCCTTTCCCTTCCTCTCTGTGAAAAATCAATAATATATATATATTTTTAAATTGGGGTGCTTGCCCAATGTGGATCAGTTGGTTGAGCATTGTCCCATGCACCAGGAGGTAGCTTGTTCAGTTCCTGGTCAGGGCACCTGCCTGGTTATGGGCTCGATCCCCAGTAGGGAGTGTGGGAGATTGATGATTTTCTCTCATCATTGATGTTTCTATCTCTCCCTTCCTCTCTCTGAAATCAATAAAATATATATTTTTAATTGTGGTGGGACGCTTTGTTCTGGGACACAGTTAATCAATTTTTTAGGGGAGGCCTGAATAACCTTTAGTCCAGGGCTAATTTGACTGATAGTCTAGAGCTAATTTGGTACTGAAGCAATACCCTTCTGTGGTCCTTATTCAGTGCCTCATGTGTTAATAGATTTTTCCACTCACGCAGGTGTTGGAGATGAACTTTTCCTGCCTCTGTATATTGTTTCTTCTGATCCTTTTCCATGGTCTTTCCCTGGCCCCAGGCGGTTTTCTTACATATATGTGCTGATCACTACTGCTTGAAGACTTGAAGGGAACATTTTCTCTCTGTGTGCAGCTCTATCCTCCATAGTACTCTGCCCTTTCCTGTGAATTCTAGCTGCTTTCAGAGTTCTCAGGTGTCTAACCTCTCCCTGGGGTGAACAATTACATTCATCCATGGTTTATCCTTCCTGTGTTTCTTTTGGCAAAAATAACCAGTTCTGCATCTCTATTCTTATTTCTTCTTTATTATCAAAAGATAGCACTTTCTTGAAAGAAAAAAAAAATCCAGTAGACTAAATGGCCAATCCACCAAACCGTCATCTCACCTATAACCCCTGATGAAACCTAATTTGCTAAAAGATCAATGTTCTGAATTCCTGAAGATTTGGAAATAATTTTAATTTCACTCTGGTACTGAGTGATAGGTACCAGACACCTTCAACCAAGTTAATTCACTGCTGTTCTTCATTAGCCAGAGGCAGCAACATGATAGATGGCAATACAAAGTGTGGCCGGGAGGAGGGGAGAGTTCATAGGCATGGGTTGACTTGGTCACTTGGCATTTTATACTTCATAATAATTTATCTGTGTTTATATTTAATACAATTTAGTTTAAAAAAATATTTACATACCCAATTTGTTCCAAACATACTGGACAGTGGTGTGGCCTTCTTTCCATTAGGACTTGGGGCTGGGATGAAGATGGGGCCAAAAAGTGAGGATGAGCGGTAACAATGTTCATCTCAAAGTGGAGCATTTCCAAGATACCAAGAGCCATGAGCTGAGGCCACCCCAAAAGAGGCGCCAGTAAATCTTCATGACCTTGACAATGGATTCTCCACCCCCCCCTCCAAAATCAATACATGGCTTTTTTTTGCATCTTTATTTTGTAATATATTTTTATTGATCTCAGAGAGGAAGGGAGAGAGAGAAACATCAATGATGAGAGATAATTGTGGATTGGCTGTCCCTTGCCCATCCCCACACTGGGGATCAAGCCCACAACCCGGGCATGTGCCCTGACCGGAATCAAACCTGGGACCTTTCAGTCCACAGGCCGATGCTCTATCCACTGAGCCAAACTGGCTAGGGTGCATCTTTAAAATATCACCAAAAACAAAAACAAAAAAGAAAATAAAGAGAAAAAACTTATGGACAGGGACAATAGTGTGATGATTGCCAGGGGAAGGGAGTAGAGGGAAGTGGAAGAGGGTATGGGGAGATAAATGGTGATGGATAGAAACTTGACTTAGAGTAGTGAACACACAGTACGTTGTACAAATGACGATTGTACAATTGTGCACCTGGAACCTGTTAACCAGTGTCACCCCAATGAATTCAATAAATATAATATTGCAAATAAGTCTGAGGAATCATTTGGCATCTTGCAGTTCTTATAGTTGAACAACTTAGATCTTATTCATCAGCCTGCTGAACTGTGCCTTTTTCAGAAACATAGATACCAACCAACATTTTTCTGATATCCTTTGTTTTAACTGTGGTGGCTCGCTGAATCAAAGCAGCTGAATTTGATACAAGTTCAATGTCATTTCCTTCAAGAATCAACTCATCTTTCCGGGCTTGAGCTACTGAACAAACAACGCCTGACCTCATCCGAACCCTGCAGGTGTATTTTTCACACACGAAATTTCTGTTTCTAGCAAGAGAACCATTCTCCTGAATAACGACATTGATGGAGAAGTGAGCGTACACAGACCTCATCTTGTAACAGAAGCTCAGTGTAAAACCCTTGATCATGTTCGGTACATGACTGCAGACAGCGAAAACGGTGGCCAGTTCCTTCCTATATCCCCACCATTTGTCAACCCAGAGCCTCTTCTTTTTCTTTCCGAGGAGCCTGAGTTCCCCATTGATGTGATTGAAGCCCCTCCGTAGGGTGCCTCTGGGGCCCTTCACAATAACGGTGCGTCCCTTCAAACAGATGTCTACATTTTCTGGGATGTTGACAGTTTGATTGCTGAGAAGGGTCTTTATCCTCGCAGTAAGTGTGGCAAAGAGTGACAGTGGATTCCTAAGTATGACACCCAAAAGTACACTCAGCAAAAGAAAAAGAACAGATAAATTGGATGTCATCAAAATGTAAAACGTTTGCGCATCCATGTGAAAAGACGATTTGCAGAATAGGAGAAATTGCAAATCTTTTATCTGATAAGGGTCTCGTATCCAGAATATAATAGAACTCATAATTCCACAACAAAATGAAAAACAGCCTGGCCGATGTAGCTCCATGATTGAGCATCTACCTATGAACCAGAAGGTCACTGTTTGATTTCCCATCAGGGCACATGCCCGGGTTTCGGGCTCAGTCCCCAGTGGAGGATGTACAGGAGACAGCAGATCAATGATTCTCTCTCATCATTGATGTTACGCTCCCTTTCTCTCTCCTCCTTTCTTCTCTGAAATCAATAAAAATATATATTTTTTAAAAGAAGATATTTTTTTAAAAAAACAATTTTTTTAGTAGGCAAACGACTTCAATAGACATTTATCCAAGAAGACATACAAATGTCTTGGAAGCACCTGAAAAGATACTCAACATCATTTGTCATTAGAGAAATGCAAATGAAAACCACAATGAGATACCATCCTCACTAGGGTGGCTATAATAAAAGATTTTTTAAAATAATAAATGTTGGCAAGAATATGGAGAAATGGAAACCCTCATACTGCTGATGGAAATGTAAAATTATTTCAGCTGCTCTGGAAACTTTGGCGGTTCCTCAAAAAGGTAAACATAGAATTATCAACTGGCCCAGCAATTCCATTCCTACCTAGATTCCCCCAAACAACTAAAAACTGGTACTCAACAAATTCCTGCATACACATTACTATTTATAACAGCCAAAAGGTGGAAATAGCCCATATGTCCATCACCAGATTAATGGATAAACAAAACATGGTATATTCATACAATAAAATATTTATTACTCAGTCATAAAAAAGTAGGAAGTTGCCCTAACTGGTTTGGCTCAGTGTATAGAGCATAGACTGAAGGGTCCCAGGTTCGATTCCGGTCAAGGGCATGTACCTTGGTTGCGGACACATCCTCAGTAGTGAGTGTGCAGGAGGCAGCTGATTGATGTTTCTAACTCTCTCTCTCTCCCTTCCTCTCTGTAAAAAAAATCAATAAAATATTTTTTTTAAGTAGGAAGTACATAATGCATACTGCAATGCAGATGAATCTTTTAAACATTTTGCTATGTCAAAGAAGCCAGACCCAAAAAGCTCACACACTGCATGATTTCACAATAGGTACATCCATAGAGACAGAACACAGATCAGTGGTTACCAGGGGTTGAGGGATGGAGAATGTGGACAACTGCTTAATGGGTACAGGGTTTCCTTCTGGGGTGATGAAAACATTTTGAAACTAGACAGAGGTGATGGTTGCACAACAATGTAAATATACTCATTGCCACTGAATTGCTCACTTTATAAGAGTTAATTTTGTGTTGTGAATGTCCCCTCAATGAAAATGAAAAGAAGGGGAGGAGAAGGAGAGGGGAATGGAAGAAGAAAATCTGATTCTCCAGTGGGGTGTGGGTAAGTAGGTTTTCCTTGAGACATTCTTTTTAGTTTTATGAGATATAATTGATATGTGACATTGCGTAAGTGTAAGGTGCAGAATGTGGTGATTTTTAAAATACACATAGATATTGAGAACTGTTTACCACAGTAAGGTTAGTTAGCGTATCATCCACCTCACATAAGCTCCATTTTGTGGTGGTGGTGATGAGAATATTAAAACTCTACTCCCACAACAACTTTCTTTTGTTGTTTAGTAAATGCTTTCCATTCTACTAAATCCACATGAACTTCAAATAAGTGCCTTTACTTAAATTTTAAAGATAAGAAAATTAGACTGAGCCTAAGTCACACAGCTGTTAGGTTTGGAGCTAGTAAATTTCAAACGCCATCGGAACCTCTAACACCATACATTTTAAAAATATATATTTTATTGATTTTGTACAGGGAGGAAGGGAGAGAGATAGTTAGAAACATCGATGAGAGAGAATCATCGATCAGCTGTCTCTTGCACACCCCCTACTGGGGATATGCCCGCAACCAAGGTACATGCCCTTGACCGGAATCAAACCCGGGACCCTTCAGTCCCCAAGCCGACGCTCTTTCCATTCAGCCAAACCGGTTTCGGCGACACCATACATTTTTGTACCTTCAGTGTCTAATAGGACTCAAACGTTGAATCAAGTCTTGTTATTCTTTATCAACTACTGACCTGTTTTAGATCCATGGCCTTAGATTCCATATTTGAAGTCCTCCAGAAGACACCAAGGGAAAACCCACCACTTCACTAAATAAAGACCTTCTGACAGGTCTTAACTCCTATTATTGATTGATTAATCTATTAAATATGTTTTTATTGGTTTCAGAGAGAGGAAGGGAGAGAGAGATAGAAATATCAATGATGAGAGAGAATCATTGATTGGCTGCCTCCTGCATGCCCCCTACTTTCTCTTCGATGTTTCTATCTCTTTCTCCCTCTCCCTCCCGCTCTTTCTAAAATCAGTAAAAAACATATCTTTAAAAATCATTATCAAATACATTATCAGTATATGAAAACACTATATTATATGACAAATGAATAATAAATGGTTAATGTGTGGGGATAGTGGACATTGGGTAGATAGACAGTGATAGAAGGGAACTTTTCACTGCACACCTTTCATTTTTGAGGTATATGCATATTACCCACTCAGAAATTAAGTAATTCTTTAAAAAGTATGCCTACAAAAAGACATCAATCCATAAGGACAAAAAGAATTGCAGAGGAAAATTCTGAAATGTGGATGAGTAGTAATAGATAAAGCAAACCATAGGAAATGAATTAATATACTAGCAGTTGGGAGGATGAAAGTAAGGAAACGATTGCACCGTGTAAGCCCTAACACTTGTTTTTTGGTCCCTTTTGTAATGCAAGTGCCGACTGAAGCTTTGATTGCCTGAGACATCCAATTCAAAGAGGCACCCACTTTCAATAAACACATTCCCAGCCCCTAGACCAGATAAAGGCCAGGTGCTTCCCCCTACTTAGGCTCCTTTGTTTTAGAGATCTTGGTTGATTTCTCTCTTTTTTTGAGAGTATAAATTTTCATTGTTTTAAGCCACCATGTTCATGGTAATTTAGCAGCTACAAGGAACTAATACTTTTTATAAAATCCCAACCATGTAGAAGTTTTATTTTATTTTTTCTAAATATATTTTATTAATTTTTTACAGAGAGGAAGGGAGAGGGATAGAGAGCTAGAAACATGGATGAGAGAGAAACATCGACCAGTTGCCTCCTGTAAACCCCCCACTGGGGATGTGCCAGCAACCAAGGTACATGCCCTTGACCGGAATCGAACCTGGGACCTTTCAGTCTGCAGGCTGATGCTCTATCCACTGAGCCACACCAGTTAGGGCCATGTAGAAGTTTTAAAATTCTGTGGGGGATAATAAAAGAAGGTAAATGGTTATGGAAGGAGACTTGACTTGGTGTGGTGAACACACAATACAGTGTACAGATGATGTGTTATAGAATTATATGCCTGAAATGTCTATATTTTTTAATATGTTTTTATTGATTTCATTGAGGAAGGGAGAGGGAGAGGGAGATAGAAACATCAATGATGAGAGAGAATCATTGATCAGCTGCCTCCTGCATGCCCCACAATGGGATCAAGCCTGCAATCTGGGCATGTGCCCTTGACTGGAATTGAACTTGGAACCCTTCAGTCCGAAGGCTGATGCTCTATCCACTGAGCCAAATTGTCTAGGGCAAATGTGTATATTTTTATTAACCAATGTAATCCCAATAGACTCAATAAAAATAGTTTTCTTTTTTTAATACATTTTTATTGATTTCAGAGAGGAAGGGAGAGGAAGAGATAGAAGCATCAATGATGATGGAATCATTGATTGGCTAGCTCCTGCACACCCCCTACTGGGCACCAAGCCTGCAACCCAGGCATGTGCCCTTGACCAGAATTGAACCCGTGACCCTTCAGTCCACAGGCCAACGCTCTATTGACTAATGAGTTTGCCGACCACTGATCTGGACTCTCGATTCTAATAATCACAGGCTGTTGTTTCTTGTGATTAAGCCCCCGCTAGGGCAAATATTTTTCTGATTGACTGGAATGATTTCAATAACTGACCATTTGGGCTACGTGTTTGTTTTCTCTTACTGCATTTGAGATTCCCACTCGTATGTTTTAAATTCACTAACAAAGAATGAGCCAGCCAAACCCTAGGCCCCCATCCTTGACCCCAATAAAAACAAAACCCCAGACCCATTCTCCCTCTCCCTCTCCTCCTTTTCCCTCTGTGGTCCCAGTTGGCGCTGTGTAATTTCCAGGTCTAGCAAGTAATAAATCTGTATCTTGTCAAAGTTGCCTGATGGTTATTGCTGAAGGGCATCATCCAATCACAGTAAGAAACACCAGGGCCAGTCAAACACAACACTGGTTACTGATAGGCTGAGACCAGTAAAAATATATTGAAAGCAGAATCCCCAAAGTACTTAAAAATTAACAGTACCAGCTACCTCTGGAAGGAAGAATGCATCCAAAAGGAAAGATGTATTGGTTCACAGTTTATTTAAGAACTTAGACCCAAGCATTTTCTTCCCACTCCATGAGACTGGAAAGATAGAAGACATATGAACAATCAATGATTGACATATACAGAACACCACAGCCAATGACAACAGGATAAACTTTTTTGAAATGCATATAGAACATTTACCAAAAATTAACCATATTGATACCTATAGAGTAAGCTTAATGAACTTCAAAAGATTGAAATTCATCCTCTCCCCCCAAAAAAGAAAGAGCCCTAGCCAGTTTTGCTCAGTGGATAGAGCAACAGATTGTGGACTGAAGGGTCCCAGGTTCAATTCCAGTCAAGGGCACATACCTGGGTTTCTGGTTTGATCCCCAGTAGGGATTGTGCAGGAGGCAGTCGATCAATGATTCTCTCATTGATGTTTCTATCTCTGTCCCTCTCCCTTCCTCTTTGAAATCAGCAAAAATATAAAAACAGGAAATTAAACACAAAGTAAAGAAGAAGAAATTTATCCTCTGATTATAGTGGAAATG